ATTTAGTTTTTTCTACATTTAACGAAAGCCTATTGCTTGTAAACCAATCGTTTATTTTGAATAGTTCTTCATTAAATATATTAAAGAGAGCTTTTATATCTTTGTTGGAATAAAAAAGATTGGAGTTATCTGCAAACAATATAATATTTAAAATATTTGATGCTAAGTATAAATCATTTACATACAATAAAAATAATAATGGCCCTAAGATTGAACCTTGGGGCACACCACATGTAATATTTTTTCTTTTTCTTTTTTATTATAAATAATACATTGTGACCTGTTCGCTAAGTAGTCTTCAAACCAAAGTGAATTTTTATTCTTTATTCCATATAGTTCTAGTTTTTTTATAAGTATCTTACGGCTAACAGTGTCAAAGGCTTTCGACAGATCAATAAAAACTCCAAGAGTAAAATGTTAAATGCATCCGTCATTATTAAATGCATCCGATACATGATTAACTAGTTCAATTATAGCTTGGTTTGTTGAATTATCTTTTTGAAATCCAAATTGTTTACTGGACAGCAAACTGTTTAACATCAAATAGTTGTAAAGTCTGTTGTACATAATTTGTTCCAATAATTTTGAGAAGCAGGGTAAAACGGAAATAGGTCTGTAGTTGTTATTATTAGTTTCGTCACCAGATTTAAAAATGGGAGTGGTTATAGCAACTTTAAGTTTTTTCGGCACAACCCCTAGCTTAAACGAAAGATCAAAAATATGAAATAATGACGGTTCAATGATATCGAAGACTGACTTAACAACATTCACACTAATTTTGTCAATGCCCGCACTTTTATTACTTATAAGACTGTTGAAACCATTCCTTATTTTGCTTAGATTTAAATTAGATTCTTCCATAATAGAATTACATGATTTGAGACTTCGAGAAAAAAATGAGTTGAGTTCTTTAGCTATTTTTTTTTACCGTAAATCATTTCCCCATCAATTAAAAGCTTTTGTGGGAGATTATTTTTTTCACATTTATTTTTACCAATTATTTGTTACCAATTATATTCTAGTGTCGCCATTAGTTTTTTTCCAACAACTTAGCATAATAAATCTTTTTTGAGTGATTTTTGTTTTTTTCAAATAAGTTTTTATAGTTTTTGTAGTTTATTTCATTTTTATATGTTTTATGTCTTAAATATTTATCATAAAGTTTTTTTTTTTTTTTTTTGATGATTTTATTAATTCCATGGTCATCCAGGGGTTTAAAAGAGACTTGGATTTTATAACAATTATAAAATTATAACAAATGCAGTTCTGTAAACAGTATGACATAATATAACAATTATGTCATACTGTTTACAGAACTGCACTAAAAATAGCTCATATGCAGTATTGACTTCATGGGATTGTAAAATAACATTCAAATTGATATTTTTTGTTAAAAGAGTTCGAAAATACAATAAGGAGTTTTCATTGATCTGTCGTGTTAAGATTGTAGTGTTTGAAGGGACATTATTTAGGGTTATGTTATCAGTAATTAAGAATATTGGAAAGTGATCAGTTAAATCAGTTTTGATTATGCCTGTTCCTAAACGGCAGTTTTGAAAATTGTTATTAATTATATTATCAAGTAGTGACGTATTTATTAGTGATTGTATTTATTAGTGATTGTATATATTTTCGTTTTTGTTAAATGTCATTTTTTTTCAAAAAGATTTCGTAGAGTTTTTGTATTTTCTTAGAAGATTTGACAAGGCCTTGTGAAACCCATGATATGGCTTTGTGAAATCTATGATATGAGGGCTTGTGAAACCCATGATGAGGTCTTGTGGAACCCATAGTGAGGCTTTGTAAAATCCATGATAAGATATCCATGGGCGTTTTTGAGCTTTAATTTTTTTTTTTTGCTACAGAAATGCTTTATCATACGCATTAATATTTTCCCAGGTAAAATATATATATATATATAAGTGCGGCCGTGTGTAAATATATATATATAAGTAATAAATATAAGGTAAATATATATATATAAGTGCGGCCGTGACGCAGTGGTTAGAGCACTTGCTTTTTAAGCAGGAGATCCAGGTTCAAAACGAGCTTTGGACATATTTCGCGTCACGGTAAGGAAAGAGGCGTGAAATTTCTGGTTAAATTCACTTCCGCGGTGCTCTCTGATAAAACCGTTAGGACTACTTGGGGCACCTAAAATAACAAATTAAAAAAAAATAAACATTATTTGCGTCTTTGAAGTTAATAAGTTGTTCCCAGTTTATTACTGATAAGTGACTAATACAAAATAAATAATGATGAGACTATAACAAAATAATATTTGTACAAATTTGTTTACAAAAATCAAAACGATAGTTCAAAAAATCACACGTAACCAACAATAACATCTAATTTAATAATGTTTAGTAAAGAGTAATTTTAAAGTACAACAATTATATAAAACAAACTAATTATTATATAATATATAGTAATATAATTTCATAATATATTATTAACATACAGGGTGGCGCATAAGTAATGTTATGATTCAATGAATGGATTTTATTTTTGATTAAGTGTACTTATTCTTTTTTTTTTCAGAGTCAATTTTAAAAAACTTGGGAAATTTATGATGGAAACACTCAGCACAGAACAAAGAACCAAAGTTGTTCAATTTTGTTTTAAAAGTCATTCAATTATCCAGATACAAAGTTCCTTTCATGTTTGAAATGCATCTAGCACTCCAATGATTTAACGATTGGTTCAGCGATCTTCCACGTACTTTTTGAAATTATGTACACATTGCTTGAATGCAAGCAAGTATTTAGGAAAACCCCGAAACTTTTATTCGGCAACGTTCTCAGCAGTTAGCGATGTCTAAGCGGTCTTTGCAAAGACCGCCTAGACATCGCTAACTTTTTTGTACAAGTTACACCTTTTCCCATATAAGATTAAATTGGTTCACGAGTTAACACCAAATGGTGCACAAAAACGCATTTAAGAGTAATGAAATCCATTTTCACCTCAATAACAACATCAATAAACATAATTGCAGAATATGGGGCACCCAAAGTCTAAGAACAATTATTGAACATCAAATGCACCCAGTTAGATTCACAGTATGGTGCGGAATAACTTTGGAAAGGACTATTGGACCATATTTTTTTGAAAACGACGAACAAGTTACGGTTAATGCAAATGGTATTTAATATCGAGCAATGGTTGAAAATCTTTTAAGAAGGTAAGAAGATATTTTTTAAGGAGGTAATTGTGGTTCCAACAAGGTGGAGCCACAGCTCACACAGCTCGTCCAATTATGGCTCTACTTTGTGAAATTTTAGGCGATCGCGTTTTTCTAATTTTAACTCGTCACCGCGTTCGCCCGATTTAACGGCTACCGATTTTTTTCTCTGGGGCTACCTAAAAGGTAAGGTGCATGTCAATAAGCCAAGAAACACCCAATAGAAATTTTAAGAAAAGTTTTGAAAAATGCTCTGGAAAGAGCATGTCAGGTCTAGGTAAACAACGGACTCCATTTGAAAGATATTATCGTCAAAACATAATGCGAACACATTTCCAAACTGTATTCTAAATTTTTATAAATCAGAAATGAATCAATAAAATAAATCATAACGTGATAACAAAAAGTTATCAATAAAATAAATCATAACGTTACTAAGCGCCACCATGTATAAATTATAAGTTTAAAAATAACATACAATAACATAATAATAGTAACATAAATAAATGCAAAAACATGTGCTATCAGGATGACTAACTACATTTTGGTAATAAATGAATTTATTTTTATTTATACCAGCTTGTATTTACAAGATGGTATCCATAAAATTTTTTGTTGAAAATAAAAAACTTATAATTTATTGTTGAATATTAATTAGTTGAGAATAGTAAAAAAATATTTTATTAACTTGTTGCTCTCACGTTTGAGGCAGAGACAGCGAAAATTTCAGGACTTTTTTGATTCCAGGCTCCCATTATCGCAATTTTTTGCAAACATTTTTTTTTTGACATAAGTATAAACATATAAATGTTTAGAGTTTGCTCTGTGTCTGGGTGTTAGCTATCTCAAAATACAAAAAATACTGGATCCGCCCCTGGTATGGACCCTAGTGAAACTCTTATGTCACCATAAAGCAAAATATGACGTGTTTATGCATACTTTCTTTTAGGGAAAATTTTCAACGAATTATGCTGACTAGGTTTCAAAAAACTTTCTGCAAGCTTTTATATAGTTAGCTTTTTATGAAAAGTTAATAACAAACTTTGAAGCAATACAAACAAAAAGTTAGATTTAATCAACGTACATCAAGTTCATAAATTTTAGACACTAAACAAAATAAAAAACCATTAAAAAATATATATATTTTTTTTCTTATGCTTTATTGAAATGGATAAAAGAGTTATTAAAGTACTATATATGAACGTGTCAACTCACTTGACTCTGTTTTAGTTTTGATAACTTTTAAATCGGCACTTTCCTAGCCAAAAAGTCATATAGGACCTGAAGCAACAACAAAAAAATAGACAAAATGTTGATAAAGATAAACATATTTTAACCTATGTGTTTTTATTTAATGCGGTTCAAATCTGATTTTTTTTTTGTTCCAAAAGTCATATAGGACCTGAAGCAACAACAAAAAAAAGACAAAATGTTGATAAAGATAAACATATTTTGACCTATGTGTTTTTATTTATTGCGGTTCAAATCTGATTTTTATTTTTGTTCCAAATTCTTATAGGATCCTATAGGATCTTATAATTATATTTTTGATTAGGATTGAAAACTCATTGAAAAATAATTTTTTTTTATTTTGTTAAAATGATTTTTTAATAAATAAAAAATATATATCTATATTATTTATCTACCAATCTCTCTCTCTCTCTCTCTCTCTCTCTCTCTCTCTTTCTCTCTCTCTCTCTCTCTCTCTCTCTCTCTCTCTCTCTATATATATATATATATATATATATATATATATATATATATATATATATATATATATATATATATATATATATATATATAACTTATATACTACAACTTATCCTTTGAATGTATATTTGCTATTCATGTTTGTATGATATACATATTCAAAATATACATCTATTACAAGCCATACTATAAAAGTATATTTGCAAAAAAAAATGTACTCGGTTTCCAACCTATACTTTATATTATATTAATAAATTTGTAGTAGTTTCCTAGTTTATAAATAATAAATGACTACAGAGATGAGACTGATGAGAGATGACTCAGTGTTCACAGGGATGATAGTAATGAGAGATGACCGAATAATCACAAGGAGATGAGTTAATGATCACAGGGATGAGAAATGTTATAATCATAGTTAATTTACATTATCAATTACATATTTTCCACATGTTTGTATTTAAAACTGTTAAAAATAACGAATAGCTGTGTGGTGTGTTAAACAGTTATAAAACTTCAAAAAGGTTTTCTAAAGTTTCCATATTTGTGATCAGACAACTTTGTTGTAATTGATTGATTGTACCTCAGTTCTTATGAACTAGTCATCATATGTAGTATTGCTGTAGCTGCCGTACGTGTTAGTCAGTGAAGGCAATTGTCTAGAAACATTATTATCATTCACTATTTTCATAGGGTTGGTCCACTTTGTAATATATAACTTTAAAGAAGTCTTATGGGTAGATGGGTGAGATCCTTTAATAGAATTTTGAGGGGTTACACTTGGTCGACCATTTTTAAAATGAGGATCTTCACAACCATGCAATAATATCCGAATCTAAAATAATAATATTTTAAAAATTGACTTTATTATACAAACTCTACAATCAAAACTGATAGTAAAACTCAGAGATATCTTTATTAAAATTTATAAACAAATTTTCTTAATACATATGCAAAATAATATATTAATATAAATAAAGTGTATATTATATGAATATGTGGAAATAATTAGATATATCAACAACGTATATCAACAACAGCCATACTGAAGTATTATCACGCAAAAGATAAACATTTTTAAAAAAAGAATAAAACAGTAATAAAAACAAAACAAAACAAAAACAAAACGAAAATAATAATAATAATATATAAAAACAATAAAAAATAATTAAATAATTTATATTTATAAAATATATTTAAGTCTGCAATAAGATTTAAAAAAAAATCTTTAATTATTCATTAATTATTTTAATTCTTTAATTATTCAATTTTAATTATTCATTAATTATTTTAATTCTTTAATTATTCAATTTAAATTCCAATCCAAAACTACTTGAAGTCGTAGATGACGTTCAAAAACTTGAAAATTTTTCTGCTATGAACTAATTAGTTTCAACAAGTTTTTTATTTTTTGTTTCCTTTTCAACCTCATGATTACTCAGAAAATTATGAAAAACTGCAACAAAATTGTTTCAAGCCTCTCACTCCGCTCTGTTCAGGAGCTTGAAACTATACACGAACTCATCACAAATTACTTAAAGTAACTTTAAATTTAGTGATGGCATAAGCACTTTTTGAGGTCAAGAAGCTCCCACTTCATATTCTCTTTCCCCTAGAGTAAGTAGTCTTTTATGGCCAGTCTTTCCTGTGATATTGTGTCTTAGTATCATGGCTGTCCTAGAGGCAAAAGAAACAAGGAATTGTTGCAGAACGGCTTTGAAAGTCCATGAATAAAAAAACTATTTTGAAATGGTTCTAACTGAAGAAGAATAAAACTATTTTGAAATCTATCAAGTTGAAGAAGTTTAAATATGTTTGATGATGATTTCTTCTGAAGATGGCTAAATGCTTTAGGAGAGTGAAAAGGCAGCCTAGGGTTTAGAGATAAATGATTTGATGCGTATTTTTGCCTGAGCGATGTTTTGTGGGATCAACAATGCAGAAGTGATTGTTGCTTGAGTAGATCGTCAGTTGTCACCAAGTTTGCAGGAGTTAGAATAAATACTTTTTTGAAAACCATGGTAATTTTTCTGCTAAAACAATATTTTTAAATAAATGTATCTAATTAATAATCAGAGTTGCAAATTATATGGAACAGTCTTGATTATTCTGGCTATAAACAAAATGAGATATAAAGATCCACAAGATTTTGTTAATTTTTTAGACAATAACAAATTACCACGAGGTATCATTTCAAGGTATCATGGAAACCGCCTTCATGTTCTTTTCCATACTTGTATTATTCTGATAAAGGATTACAGTGACTTTAAACAATATCTTACAACTCGAACAGTAAAGTTTAAAAGTTTGCAAGCAACTCTTCAAGAAGCAATTAAACAAATATTTGTGCTAGCAGTATTTGGGAAACTTCTAAATGGACCCTTGATGTAAATGTTTTATGTAAAATCAGAGCATGCAACATTTGATCATGTTGCTGGTATCCAGGTTGGGAAAAATATTATACAAACAGCTCAAGCTTGCAAATCCAATCCAGCAGGGTTGCTTTGCATACAGACTGATTTTTTTTTAAAATCAATTAAGCCAAACTTTAGAATCAGTAAGAAATTTATGCTCTATTGATAAGGAACTTCTTAAAATGACTTCTGCATGTCTTACAGTGGAAATGTTTTAAATAGACAATATAATAGATATTTTTCATTTAAAACAAACACATTTAAAAGAGAAGACAGTTAGTGTAAAGGCTTCACAATATATAGTATGAGGAATTATAGATAGTGAGGAATTAATCTTAATTTGGAAGAGATATAGCAAATTTTTGCATTAGGTCCCCTAATGCAAAAATTTGCTATATCTCTTCCAAATTAAGATAAAAAAAACAGTCTAGACCTAAGTTTGAGAGAAAAAGTAGTTAAACGGTCAATTAATGTAGCACATAAAAGTAGATTTAGAAATCGACTGCATCAAGCTAAAATTCAAGCTAAGATTTGCTAAAGACAAGCTTCCAAGCGCCAAAAAAGGATGACAAAGATTAAAGAATATATATATATATATATAGAATATGTATATAACAAAGATTAAAGAATATATATATATATAAATATATATATATATATATATATATATATATATATATATATATATATATATATATATATATATATATATATATATATATATATATATATATATATACAGATGGCAGCCTACGAAAAAACATAATTAAAGTTATAAAAATGATTGGTTTTAAAATAGAGATTCAAACAAACCGACCAGCAGTCAACTTCTTAGATGTCTCCTTTAAGTTAGAAAAAAACTCTTACCAACCTTTCAAAAAACCAAATGAATATCTGCGTTACATCCACACTGAGTCCAACCATCCTCCGCAAATAATAAAGCAAGTTCTTATCTCTATCAATCACAGATTATCACAAAATTCCTCAAATGAAAAAACATTTAATTTATCTATACCAGAAAACGAAGATGACTTAAGAAGAAATGGCTCCACTGGTTTTAAAGTATAATCCCCAAAGAAGAGAAAAAAAGAACAGAATAAGAAATATAATATGGTTCAACCCCCGTATAGAAAAACACGTTTCTACCAATGTGGGATATCTCTTCCTAAACTTAATCGACAAACATTTTCCAACATCCGACCCGCTAAGTAAACTATTCAATCGAAACACCATCAAAGTGAGTTACATCTGCACCAAAAATATTGCAAAAATTATAAAATGCCACAACAAAAAAATCAAAAACCAAAAGAATACCCACCCTGTAATTGCATAAATAAAGAAAACTGCCCTATAATAGAAAAATGTAGAGCCTCCAACGTTATTTATAAATGTACAGTATCTCCCCCTAACACCTCAGAAAAAGTATATATTGGCCAAGCAGAAGGTGAAGCAGAAGGTGAATAGAAGAAAAGATGGGCTAACCACAAACACTTATTCACAAACAAAAAGATGAAAAATTCAACCACTCTTTTAAAGTATATATGGCAGATAAAAAAAAACTTAAAAAAACACCCAAATTAACCTGGTCAATAATTAAACAAGTCCCCGGCTAACAAAAAAATGCTTGCTTTGTCTCCATGAAAAACTTTGCATAATATCATACAAAGGTACGCATGAACTATTAAATAAAAAAACAGAAATAATATCTAAGTGCCATCATGAAAACAAATTCTTGCTTGACAACCACGAGCCCAAAGATTAAAAAACCAAACCAAAAACCGCTTGCAAATAGTAACATTAAATAATTATTTTTGAACGCTACAATGTTTATTGAGTATATTTTTTTACAAAAAAAAAACAACGTATTTTTTACCTGATGATTGCTAAACTCATGAAACTTTTAGTAGTAAAAATTATGTAGTTATTTTTTATTTAACCTCATCAAAAAAATCAATTATATAGATCTGATATCATTCATCAAGCACTATTGCTGAATATATGCTCACAGCATAATTAAATTTATATATATATATATATATATATATATATATATATATATATATATATATATATATATATATATATATATATATATATATATATATATATATATATCATCTTTCCAGGCCATAATTTAGTACTAAAGATTTTTTTTTTCAAAAATCTCAAGGGTCCATTCAGGGGGCAAAATCTGCATTTTTTAGAGCATTTTGTACCATTTTCTAAAAGTGTTGGTAGGAAGTCTTGACATTAAAACTTTTGATTTTTTTTAATATTAGTGTTTGTTAAGACTTATTGAAATCAAATAAAATGGGCTCTTCTCTCAAAAAAACAAAAAACTTATTAAAAGAAATTTAAAAAAGATAGAGTTGCAATTTTGGTAAGAATTGGTGCGAAAACAGAACTTGGCATTCCACCAATAAATTCTTGCTCAAGGGTTAATCAAGAGCAAGCCATTGTAGAATTGATGGAGTTTTTTGGATTAAAAGATAAGGTTAAATGTCTCTATTTTGAAATAACTTCAGCAAAAACAGGAAGATAGCAAAGTACTTGCGCGAGATTAATTCAACAAGTTCAACATCAATCATTGTTGATTGCATGTAGACATCATGTAATTGAGCAACACATAGCTCATTTCTGCAAGATTTACCCAAACAGCAAAACTTCTGATTTTATTAAACTTTAGCAAAACTTCTGATTTTATTAAACTTTATGAAATCGATGTAAAAAGGTGCTTTCTGATGCTAAACTCCATTATTCTCAGTTCACTAAATCTCGCATCTTATCACAAAAGTTAGGCTCTAAAGACTTTTGGAAAATCTTCAACAGCATTATTAACAAGGGTAGATCTTACATTCCATCTCTCATTCATGGGACTGATCTTATTACCTCTCCCAAGGATAAGGCAGAACTATTTGCAAAGAACTTTTCTTCTAATTCCACTCTTGAATCTTATGGACATTCTCTTCCTTCCATTCCAGTCAAACAGGTTGACCCATTTTTAGGCATTCAAATTACTCTGGCTTCTGTTGCTAAAGTCATATCTCAATTAAACTCGTCTACAGCTTGTGGTCCAGACAACATTCCTGTCACAGTCTTGCAGAATTGTTCTCCAGAACTTTCTTCAATTCTCTCTAAACTATTTAACAAGTGTTTGACTGAGTCTTGTTTTCCTGCTTGTTGGAAAATGGCATCTGTGGTTCCAATATTCAAAAACTCTGGAGAAAATTCTGACCCCTCCAGTTATCGTCCGATCAGTCTTCTTTCTGTTATTAGCAAGGTCTTTGAGTCTTTGATCAACAAATTCCTCACATCTCATCTTGAGTCAAATAAACTACTGTCAGACAATCAATACGGTTTTCGATCCTCTCGCTCTACGGCCGACTTGCTAACTGCTGTAACTGAAAGATTTTATCGTGCA